AACGCATACCATCGAACTTGTTTAATCCAAGTTATATTGTTCATTGAATCAAGTAACGAAAATATTATAAATATACTTATACATTGTAATATAGCGTTAAAAAAAAATATAGAAAGTTACTTTTTTTTTGAGATTCTGAGAGGAACAATGACTATATGTTGACTTATTTTCTTCAAATAATTTTCTGATTTTCAATTTAAATACAATTGCTATTATAATCGACGTTCTCGCACAATTTAACATTATTCACCGATTTTTGTACTGACTTACTTTTAGTGGCAAAAGAATAATATAATAGTAATACGCGGTGATGGTGAGAGACGGGTAAGATACAACTGTGAAAAGTATCAATTAATTCTATCTGGTGTTTATGGTGGTATCGGGTGATGTGGTGTGTTGTTTTTTGTATGTTAATTAATTTCTTTTCTCCCTTAAATCCCAAATGGACTTGAAATAAACAATCATATCGTGTATTGAATAGAGTGGAAACGCGTGGAAAAAAATTAAAACAAAAACCGTGACAATATTATAAAAATCCACCTACCCTGAAAATARAGTGTCTCGTTCCAGCGCGGGTTTAGAGTCCGGCGTTTCACTTTCGTGTCCAATCGATGCTTTTTGTCCGGCAATAATGTCACGCGGACATAAGGGTCGGACGTGCCGCTCAAGTCCATTGCCGGCAAGTCTTTGGCCTGTAACACGACATCAATTATTTTCATTATTTATTATAACTTAATTGTATATAATATACTGTATATCTTGTTATAGTATCGCATCATTTATTTAGATGTATGRAAGCTGAAATGTTTTTGGTAAATTTAGTGGTAAAATGTGCAAAGAATTTAGTTTATTTTTTAAATAATTTGTTTTTCATCGTTTTATTATCTGCCTAACGTTTCACTAAATTGTTATGCTGATATTAATTATACAATAGTTATAATAATTTAAGGTCCATATTTTAATGTAATTTTAATTTCTTTTTGGAAGCTCTACAACAAAATATTTGTATCTCAAACTAGTAAAATATGAAACCTTTATTCGTATTAAAATGTATTTTTCATATTCTATAAAATACATTTTAGATCAAATCAACTTCTTGAACTGTGTGATTTATTATTAATAGCAAAAAAGATAGTAGTTGCAGTTAACGGTTTATTGCAAAGAATTGTAAAAGTTTATCCTCTACCTCAATCATTCCTAGAAGGTTAAAAAGGCAATGGCCAAGAGATCTGCTCAATACCTAATTAAAAAAAAATAAAAAATATTAAAAACCCTAATTATAAAAAATAAAATAAATAAACTCAAACCCTAACTTCTTGTCAGGT